CTCGATTGATATGCTTTATACATGCTTACGTATGCTTTTATATATCCTGGGACTCCCTTTAACTTGTATCACGCCGTGGCCAATGACGGGTCTGACGTGTTTACTGACGTACTGACGTGGCTGCATGGAGGTAAACTTGGTCAGTTGTACCGGATATTTACTTGTGCTCTTATTGCGCATTTGGAATTACTGACCAATAATAGGTCTTAAATTGAGCATGTGATACGGGGAGGAGGTTGAACCCGGGTCAGGGTATATATTCCGAAATGGAACTAGTTTCGGGGAATTTAGATCTGCTGCAACCAAAGAACTCCTCAAGCTAGAAGGCATATAACATCAATTATAATAGAATAAAAGGATATGATACCAATATACTTAATATAGTTTTATATTGAATATCCTGAAAGTGTCACAAATACTGTTGCATATCATCTAAATATTATATACATTATATAACATCAGACGAAGTCAATTCAGGGTTCAGATGAAGAGGTATCACACTGCAGAGTCAATATATATAACGCTTTTTGCGATCAGAAGATAAATAGTAATGTTATATTAATTATATACGTTTTACTTCAAGGGAAGGAATTCACCGTAAATTTGTAAATTTTATTGACCACTGAGGCTACTTATTACAAATTTTAAATCATTTTATGGTATCATCGGTGGGAGAGATAGGAGACGCGACCCATAATAAGACTTAGGAGTACTGTAATTCGAAGCATTGCACGTAGGTACAATGCGTACCCCTCAATTCAATAGAAAACCTAATGCTGTTATTGACCTATCTCTTCTTCCCCTCTGTTTTCTGTACTATGAATTTCTGTCTAGTACTCTCTGCATCCATAAATCAGTTTTCCACTGCACTACTCTTTCTCTCCACTTCCATGAATCGCTAACTTTCCCCCTGTCTCTACCTCCCTTTATTCCTAGATCTGTATTTCTTAAAAAGTGTACACCTTTTTTCCTCCTAGTTGCTCTCCTTGTTTATATTTTACCATCCGGATCCTTATTTTTGTATCGCTGATTCCGTCCCCGACCTCGTTTATTCGCGGCAGAACTAATTAATATAGTACTATTTGATTGTAGAATAACCATGCACAAAATGAATTACAACTGCAACCAGATAGCTCAAGTCACCTTCAAACGTTTCAAATTAGAATTAATGGATCTAGGAGCTTAAATATTATCTTTATATATTTATTTTTCAGTCATAACTGGGTATGAGGTGGTAAAAGCCGACTCTCGGAAGCACCGGCTTTAGAATTTTAAAACCTTGAGGATAAACCCACGGCATCCAATCGCATAGCAGACGACAATCCAACTAGCTACCGACTAAGCTATTCCACTGCCATAATAAGACAAGTGTTCCGACCGGATAATTATTAAGTCCTTGCTTTTGCTCTGTGAAGCTGGTTCGGTATTTCTGACTGTAAACAAGGGAGGACAATATTCAATACACCATTTCATGAAAAATGATAACTTGCGATTTGTTCATAAAATTAAGAGCTATTGAAATCCTTGACGTGAGTTATGATTTTTTTCTTTCGCTGGTGGTCGTTTTATTGGTCGTAAACACATTTTTCCCCAGGAGTCTACTGTATTATATATAAATCATGATACCTTCTTGTCTAGCGTTATGTGACACAGTTTTTAGAATAATGATTATATTCCATGACTGGAGATATCTGTTCGGAAGAATGATAACGACCTTGAAACTACCAGAATCGAACAAGACAAAAATCAGCAATTGTCTTTTCTGGCCAATCAGGATGATACCCTCGCACATGCACTGTAACGAGCAGTGTCATATTACAAATATCAAGTCCAATAAGCAAGCAGTGCCATTCGATATATCGGGTGGCTTTATACTTTTTGAAACATCCTGAAACAATCCTGAAATGAAAAGTGTTATCGTTTTTTTTCTGTGCCATCCGATATATCGTGTTCAACAATAACGTGTGTCATTCCATATAGCATGTTTAACTGAAAAGTAGTGATATGCGATATGCAAGCAGTGTCCTATTTCGTCTTTAAGTAACAAGTAGTGTTATACGATATAGCACGTCCTACTAAATAGCAAGCAGTGCCATACGATATATCACGTCTTACTAGTAAGCAGTGCCATACGATATATCATGCCCTACTAGCAAGCAGTGCCATACGATATAGCACGTCCTACTATATAGCAAGCAGTGCCATACGATATATCACGTCTTACTAGTAAACAGAGCCATACGATATATCACGTCCTACTAGCAAGCAGTGCCATACGATATATCATGTCCTACTAGCAAGCAGTGCCATACGATATATCATGTCCTACTAGCAAGCAGTGCCATACGATATATCATGTCCTACTAGCAAGCAGTGCCATACGATATATCATGTCCTACTAGCAAGCAGTGCCATACGATATATCACGTCCTACTATATATCAAGCAGTGCCATACGATATTTCGTATTCAAGTAACAAGTTCCGTATGATATATCATGTCCTAAGAAGTAAACATCTACCATGTGTCATCCTACTAGCACTCAGTGCCATACGATATATCATGTACTACTAGCAAGCAGTGTCATACGATATATCATGTCCTACTAGCAAGCAGTGCCATACGATATATCACGTCCTACTATATATCAAGCAGTGTCATACGATATTTCGTATTCAAGTAACAAGTTCCGTATGATATATCATGTCCTAAGAAGTAAACATCTGCCATGTGTCATCTCAAATATGTTCTTATGTTATCACACATGATACACTCTGTATGTACTGGACCCAACCTGTATATTGAATGGTTATGATCATTAACTACTTACAAATACACCTTGGTAGCTCTATAGTATTATTGTTCCATTATTTGATAATTTGTGCTGTTTGTAAAGAGTTTTGAAACAACATAATTATCATAGCTCCAAACTAAGCATAGCGTGTAACTATGTACAGTTGAGCGAACTTGAATTATTAATACAAATATTCCTGTGAAAAAACTTGGCAGAATAAACAATAGAGACCTATTTTTAATGTCAAGATTTCATGTTTATATTTAGGCCTATATCAGATAACATAAAGAGACTTTCTCGTGCTTCTTTGACGTCAATGTTCGTTTGTGAAACTATCAAATGTAGGCTCAGGTGGACTATTCGAATGGTTTTAGTTGTCTCTTACACAATATAATACATAAGGGCTCGCCGAATCCTTGAAAATTTGTATTGAAATTCAAAACAGTTTTTTGTATCCAGGGCGACAAATATTTTTAGCAATAACTGAAAACAACGTTTTTTATATAAACTGACACTATATTTACACTTTAGTATTATCCTTTAAATAAATATATTAACATAATTATGATGTTTTCATGAATATCTGTAAAAATTAATACATATGTGTTAATAATAATAATTATAATAATTTATATGGGTATCCATTGATACTGCACGAAATAAGCATTTTATATTTATTATGCAAGATGACATTATCAGAGGTTACATTAACTTCTAAACTGATTTTTCTATGCCCAAATGAAATTCCCTTCACCCATGTCCGTTGGTCCGTCCACAATTGCTCGTAAACACTCTACAAGACACAATTCTTGGCGGATTTTGACAAAACTCTGTATGAGTGTTCGTAATCACCCAAGGATGAACCCTATTGAAAATCAGAAGAATATTTAGTATCAGTTGTTATTGCCCTTGTTCTCGAAAACACATTCAATTCAGCCTTTGGTGATTACAAACACTCACACCAAGTTTCGTAAAAAATCCGTCATGAATTGTACCTAGCCTACTAGAGTGTTTACGTGCTAAAAATTGAACGTATTTTCAAGTGCAAGGGCAATAACCCATACTATTTTTTGTTCAATTTTTCTGATTTTCTATAATAGGGTTCATTCTTGGGTGATTACAAACACTCACACCAAGTTTCCGCCAAGAATTGTGGCTTCTATGGTGTTTACGAGCAATTGTGGACGGGCGGACGGACGGGCGTGGGTGACGACAATATGTAACAGCCACCATTTCAGACGAGAGAGAGATTTGCGACTATGACGCATCTATATAGTTGCCGCATTTTGAATTTCAGCTTCGACATTTAGTCTGAATCGCTCAAATCGGCTACAACAGCGCTCAACTGAATGGTCACGGATTTATGTCGATGGCATGATCTAATGTTTTACAAGAAGATACTTATAGGATTATTGGCGGGCCTATTGATGATGTAATCGCCCGATTCTGCTTCTGAATAATGTTTCAAAATAATGAGACATCTCCAGAAAATCAGGGATAGCCTATCATCTTCAAACAAGTTAAATTTCTTTGGGACAGTATTTTAAACTCATATTATGAAGCTACCTAGAGTAGATCCGATGTCATCTTTCTAACCCAATTATTTTTTTTTAGATTTTCGGGTCAGTTAGGTCCGACATTACTCATTCAGTGTGGCCCTGATTCCAATTTCAAATTTCTGTTGTGCATTTACCTAATGGGACTGGTTGACAGAGACATTCTTAAAATATTGTCATCTTGTTAATCAAGACTATGTAATTGCGGGGAAAGATTGTTACACAGAATGGCGGAAACCAATGACAATATTTAAACGATGAGCTTGTCAACTTTTGATAGCAGGTAATATGCTTGAAAATATATATATAATATGTCAGCTCTGTTATTACACAAGTTACAGATCTAACAACAGGTCAGATCTTGAGTACACTGTTTTGTTTTTACTTGAAGACTCTTTATACTTGCAGCTGAAACTGTGCAAGGGAAGCAACTCTTTATTTACATTTGTAGTGCATCAAGATTCCAGACCACATAAAACGATTTATTTTTACAAGGTTTATTTTTTTTATATAAATGATTAAGTCAAAAGGAATGAATATACGGTTGATTTCCAGCTTTAAGAGTTCAAATTCAGCAAATTGAAAGAAAATTGTTTGGACTAGTTCCGTTCACTTTATGATTCTCATTGTAGTGAAACTCAAGAATGTAAAGCCAATATGATACAAGCTATTGATAAAGGTTCAGTTCATAGGATATGTTCGGGACAAGTAGTGCTTACGCTTGCTGTAGCTGTTAAAGAACTGGTAGAAAATAGTGTTGATGCTGGCGCAACATCAGTCGGTAAATGTGGGAAGGCTGCCACTTCCATATAAGTTGAAGCAAAAATTTCACTGGATTTAGTGAAATTACTGGAAACCTTTTCATATTTCTTTAGTGTTCCCAGCCACGTTGTTAGGATGGGGTCCGTGGGAGCGGGACCTCAGCAAGTGAGAATTAAGCCGCAGCAAAACCTTCTTCACTTCAATTCAGTAGAGATTTATTCATTTACATTGTTTTTGTACAAAATCAAAAAGATAAAGATTTTGATATGTTTTTGGCACCTCAAAATTGTCAGAAATGGGTACTCTTGGCCTTTAATTCCTCAAATTTTCTGAGTATAAAATCTGAGCTGCTGCACCAATTCATTCCTGGAGACAGGGCTGAGGGTTCCTTTCAACCTAGCTATACATGGTTAAGGTAAATCTCTAAAAGACCATGACCAATTTAAGCGCTTGCTTTCTAATCTAAAGGTTTGAATAGTGGTCAAGATAGTAGATGTACTTATAGAATATTCAATCAGTTCCCCAGTCAGTGATATTGTAGACCTATGGAGATACAGTAATTTGAGTTAGTGATAAACCAAGGCCTTTTTGAATAAATGCTATGCATAATCAAATTTCCTCAAAAACTGAAAATTGTTCATTCACAATTTCCTTCAGTGCACACTACATGGCATGAATATCTTTAACATTATGCCAGACCAGTATCATAATTTACTAATTTTTACGACATTTGTATTATAGATATTAAGTTGAAGGAATATGGTAGTGAATGTATTGAAGTATCTGATAATGGTTCTGGGGTTGAAGAACAGAACTTTAAGGGGCTAAGTAAGTTTTAAAAAATTTGAACTGTATCACACTAGGACAGCTGAACTAGGGGTAGAATATCATATTCTGATTGTAATGTTATTCAAGCGTATAAGAGGAATCATACATGTATATTACAAACGTTTTATTTCTTACTCAACACAGAAAGTACCCTTCAATTATTCTGATTCATTAACTGTGTTTCCACTGAGGGAAAAAGCTGGCTTTAAGCTAGCTTCTGTGTGTTTCAACTGGGCAAATTGCCGAACCGTTAAAGTAAGGGAACTGAAAACCTCTCTTTTTGTGTTTAAAAATTTTAATGAAATTTGGTGTGATCATTTATATTGATGAGATCTTGGACAAGTTCGAATTTGACATTTCAATGAACAGTCTTTGAGTTATTGCCCTTGACTTAGGAAAAACGCATCAAAATTTGTTTGTGAACACATAAGAGACTACAGTTTTCAACTGATGTTAATGCAACATGGTGTGATCATGTATATTGATGCGATAATTTGATGTATTTGGGTTTTTGACATTGATTTTTAAAAATTGGTGGTATTTCTCAGCATAAATAACTGGCAGTAATTATATATATCAATGATTTCAAACTATTTCTTTAATATGAGAAAATTCATACTTTAGTCACTAAAGACTGTTTTATCATTTCTGACAGCTGCCAGTGGGCGTATGTTACATTGCCTGGCAAGCTATCTTATGATTTCAGCTTTAAAACATCACACATCCAAGCTGCAAGATTTTTCTGATTTAGTTAACGTTGAAACTTTTGGATTTCGTGGAGAAGCTCTTAGTTCATTATGTGCACTCAGGTAATATAGAATATATTATTAGATTTTGCTTAGGTATACAAACTTAGTACTGTCATAGTATCTTGTTAGACTCATCACAGCAGGTGAGGTTCTATAATACAGTCGGTTAGAGCGTTGGTTCTTTACAAGACGTCATTTGCATGGTTACATCGAGCGAATGGCGGCTGTGGGTTCCGATCTCGAGAGGCATGTGAAAGTCTGATGACCTTGAATAAGTTATCTTCACTCATAATGCCAATCGACCCAGCTGTTATTTGGTACAAATAATCCAGGAAAGATCAATGCCAAGAGGTTTGGCCAAGGATAAGCTGGTAGAAAGTATCCTTAACTGCCAACCTGAGTTGTTATCCTTGAAGTCCTAAAATATGGTTGTTTCTTTCTTCCCTTTTTTTCAAATATGTATTTGTAGACTTACAGAATATCAAAATTTCATTCTAAAAAGTGATATGTATAGTTGATAGGATGTTTTATGGACTGATACAGTGATGATTTAGAAATTGACTAAGTAAAACAAGAAATTTTTTCTCCAAAAAGAAGATCAATTAATATAAAATATGGATAATTCTGAAGTTGTTTTTCAGAAACATTCAATAACTTACTTATTTATGGAGTAAATATATGAGATGGAGAAAATATGAAACCTTACTTGCACACATCTTCAATTTAGCTTGACTTCACCTGAAGAGAATTAATTTTTCAGTGATTTAAGTGTTTTAACTTGTCATAAAGATGCAGCAGTAGGAAACAAGTTGGACTTTGATTATCATGGTAATATAAAAAAACAAGTACCATCTCCAAGACAAACTGGAACTACTGTCATCTTGCAGAATTTATTCCACACATTACCAGTTCGTCACAGAGAATTCCAACGTAATTTGAAAAAAGAATTTGCAAAGATGGTTCAAGTATTAAATGGCTACTGTCTTATTAATATTGGTATTAGAATACATTGTACTAATCAAGTTGGGAAAGGGTAAGAATATAAGATATAGTTTATGTTGTTTTGTAGTTTGTAGTTTAATATGTTTTCCATTTATTGTCCTGTCAAAGTGTTGTATTATATTTGTTGAACAATCACAGGTATTACTTCCCTGCATGTACTTTGATTACTTAACTACATGAACCAAGATAACTAGCCTGCATGTACATGGATTACTTGCCTTCATGTACTTGGATTACTAGCCAACATGGATTACTCGCCTACATGTCCATGGATACCTAACCTACATGTACTTGGATTCCTAGGTTACAAGTACTTGGAAAACTAGTTTACATTTATTTGAATTCTTAGCCTACATGTACTTAAGTTCCTATGATCCGTGTACTTGGATTACTAGCCAACATGTACTTGGATTCCTATCATACATGTAATTAGAGTATTAGCCTACATTTCATTGAATCTCTTGCCTACGTATATTTGAATTACTAACCTACCCTTGTTTGGATTTCTAGTCTATTTTTTATCACTAACTAATTTGAATAACCAACTGTACTAATCTTGAATGTAAATTTTTTAAGGTCAAGGTCTGTTGTTGTATCAACTAAAGGAAATTCAACAATTAAAGAAAATATAGTTAATATTTTTGGAGCCAAACAGGTTAGATTTTAGTTATTTTTTATACATCCATGCAAAGTTTGGTTTTAGTACAGTGGTGTAACCTATTTTCATGGATATAAGGATTCAACACCGAATTTCGTCAAAGTTAAATGAACGAAAAAAAATTTTTATGTCTTGGATGTTTCCTCAGATATTCTACAAAATAATAAAAATTGGTTTGTTTCGATTTTCTTTATTAATCCTTCACTTTGACCCATATTTCATGAGCAACCAACTCGGCAACGGCGGCATAATGCGTCACCTATTTTCGTGTACAATGTTTGATCTATAAATAAGTCTAGAAAAACACGTTGTATGGATACCGGGTGGTATAATTAACTTCTCTTAGTATTTATCTTTAATATCAATTCATTATAACTAGTGACAATTCCTTGAAAGAACCACGATTTAAAAAAAAAATAGTGACTGACAAAATATGATATGTACCGTGATTTATTGCTAAAAGTCACTGAAACAACATAAGAATATGGTCCACTTTGTGTTCCATAGAAATTTTCTGCTGACACAGAATCCGCTAGTTGATCACGTGACTTCATTTGTTGGATTACATTCTAGCAGACGACACTTGGAATTCCGATTACCGCTTGGGATTATAAGGAAATTCGGCCGATAAAAAATGATGACATTTGGTAATAAGTGAAATCCGCCATTTTGTATTTGTCAAAGTATACATTAATACACTTTACCTTGCTTGAAACTACTGAATTCATTCTACTAGCTGATATTATACAGAAAGCCCATGTTTATTAAAACAAACTAATGCGGAGGTCGCGCAAGGTCGCTCATGTAAATTATTAATCCTTTCCGGAAATCCACGAATAATAGGTTTCCACGAAATTAGGTTACTTGACTGTATATATTTTTGTCCCACTTTCCATTCAGCAGTCTATCTGCCTGCTGGTCTAGTCACTTTTAGCCTCTGATTTACAGGTTGTTTTTATTTTATTCATCCCTTTGACAGATTCCTTTCATTTTAATGACCTACACAAAGTGTGGGTGTTATTGTCCTCCTTACACTTTTCATTTGTCTGTTCGTCCTTCAACTGATCATATAATATCAAGTGGTTAATCTACAGGTTAGACACCCAGATTATTCTGAAATAGCCCAATTAAAACAGCATTCATTTACGATTTTAAAATATCAAATGAACATTGCAACTCATGTTGTTTTAAATATTAAAGTTTCTTGTCCTTACCAGTAGTGCAAAACTGTCTCACAAGTCACAACAGTCCAAACTTGGCTCATGTCCCTTTTGGTGGGTGAGCTAACTAAATGCTTTCAAGCCCATACTATTCAGTGGCCTGTAGTAGGGTAAAACTGACGACAGTCTAGACCCAGCTCATGTACCTTTTTTCGTAGGTGAACGATTCAACACAATTCGATCCCAGATATATGTTTCTCTCGCACTAGTCAGTCCTACCCGCTCGTAGCCGTTCGTTCGTAAAGAGTTCCCTACCAGTTGGGTAAAACTAGTTAACATGATTTAAGATGATCTAAACCCAGTTTGCGTTTTGTGTTTTACCTTTTGGTATTCAACATTTTTGTTGTATTCACTCATAGTATCTCGATTATAAAGAAGTCTCCCACCAGTAAAATTAATCTGCCTCACAACAGTCTTAACCCTGCTCATGTTCCCTGTTGATAATAAACATTTTTGTTGTATTCATTCATAGCTACTTGATCGTAGCCTTACCGGTTGGTTTAAAATTAGCCTGTCTAACAAAGTCTAAACCTGCTGAAGATGAAAAATTATTATTTCTAAATGACCATTACCCTATCCACTCATTTGTAAAAATTAACCATACTTGTTTTCCCATATTCTTGTCAAAGATAATAATGATTATAGAGGTATTATCAGTGTATTGTTGTTGGCATAGATTATTCTGGAAAGTTTTTTGTCATTACAATAATTGTGATTTTATTATTATTATTCCTGTGAGACTGTGTGTAGAGAATACTCTTTAACTAGAACAGGTATGTTATACAATTCTATAATTTATCTATATTATTTCTTTCATTTTTACCTACCAACCAGTAACCAGATATCAGTTCAAAGTTACAGATTTAAATATAAAGAGAGTTTTAATTGTATACATTGCAAAATTTTATCAGAAACAGTCATAACAAGATATGCTTATGCTTTATTTTTTTTTTTAGAGAACTTTGTCCATTTGCATAATTTTTTCATCTCTAAGAAATTGCTCCCGTTCATTTACCATGGCATGTATGAAATTAGGGATGCTATAAAATATGTTTAGTTTTGACAAGAGTTCGTCCTTGTCTTGTTCGAAGTAAAATTTATGAAATCAAACAATGTATAGTGTATAATGTTGTTTAATGTGCGGGTGGGTGCATATATGTACGTTAAAGTACTGGCTTATAATAAAGAAAGGTAATCAAATTCTCTTTTGTAGCTTCACTTGATGAGGTAATTATTGAAATCTGTAATTGTAATCAGCTATAATCAATAACAAGTAATCAGATGTAATTTGTAATCTTATATTTTTCAATTATGTATAATGTAATTGTAATTGTCTACCTGATATTGTAGTTACCTTGATTTATCATTAGATTACTTTTTAATTGCCTTAATTTAAAAATATCAAATACCTACTTATAACTTATTATTATAACTTATTATTATAACTTAATGTTCCATTGTAAGATCCAAGTTGAAAATTTGCTATAAATTCACAGGGATACAAAAAAGGTTATTCTGTTGGGGGTACATTTATTTGCACCATTCCAATTTCCTGTTTGATACATCTGATGTTACATAGATCCATAACATGTGAAATGGTTTATGCAATAATAAAAAAATTTGAAAGTAGAGTTAATATAAATACACAGAAACCTGCTTTGTTTCCTTTTAAACTTTAAGTTCTTTATAATCTTTGATTTGTTACATTTTCAATTCAAGTAGAATCTGTTCTTATTATTTTGAACCATTTCTGCAATTTTTACAGTAAGAAGCAATCAATGTTTTTGGTTGATCAAAGACTTCAGTTGTTGATATCAATTTAATATCTTTTATACAACTTGGGTTTATCTCAAATTTTATTACTTGCTTTTTATTATTTTACTTACTTTCAGTTTGTAACATAAATAAATTGTGTGCAAATTGGTCATTTTCTGGATAAAAAGATCATCTAGGATGAAGGGGAGATTGTTTTCCTACCTGTGACGGATTTATGAATTTAAGTTATGCTTGATCAACTTGTTGAAGTTGAGGGTGAAAATTAACAAGATAACAGCCCCACAGGAGGCTTAGGTTTGTGACTATTGTTCCATCTCAGTAATCTAGATATATTTTATATCCATCCTTTCTGGCCTGCATCATCAACAAATATAAAACTTCTACAAAATGATTTATATGTCAGTTTAAACAATAGTTAGCTATAGGTATTGATTTATAGTTGCTACCTTTTAAAATATAAATAAGTAGAATACTCAGATATAGAAAAGATAGCAATTAAACAACAACACATACTGGATACTGGCAATCAAGGTAGGATTACTAATACTTTATTTATTTTACTGTGGTTTTGGAAAAATTGTATTTGTAGGCTTGTTTTGGTTATTGTAGGCTTGTTTTGGGATTCTCATGTTGTTATTTTTGTAGGTTTATTTTGGTTATTGTAGGCTTGTTTTTGAGGTTATTTTACTGGTTTTTTTTGTGGGTTTGTTTTGGTTAGAGTAGGCTAGTTTTAAGGTTATTTTACTGGGTTTTTTTGTGGGTTTGTTTTGGTTAATGTAGGCTTGTTTTGAGGTTATTTTACTGATTTTTTTTGTGGGTTTGTTTTGGTTAATGTAGGCTTGTTTTGAGGTTATTTTACTGGTTTTTTTTGTAGGCTTGTTTCGGTTTTTTGAGGCTTGTTTTTAGGTTATTTTACTGTTTTTTTTTTGTAGGATGGTTCTGGTTATTGTAGGCTTGTTTTTAAAGGGTATTGTGCTGTCATTTTGGTAGGCTTGTATTGGGGTTATTTGACCCTGGTTTTGGTTGGCTTCAGTTATTATAAGCTTGATTATAGCATGCTGTTATTTTGATAGAATTGTTTTAGTTTTATCAGTTATTTTGATAGGCTTGTTATAGTTGCTTGACATTCATAACTTGATTCAGAAACCAGTGGTCATAGAGTACTTTCTACATGTGAAGGCATAGCAAAACAACAATATAAAATAACTGTCAAATGATAAACAAATAAACAAAATAAAACTATGGAAACAAATGGATATGTTATGTATGTTAAGAAATAATAAATGTTATAAAATGATAAATAATATAAGATAATAGTTATAAGATAATAAATTATATTAGATAATATATATTATAAAATGCTACAGCATGGCAAAGTGTTGAAAAGGGGAGGATACACAAGTCTAAGAAGGCTAAAATTTTCAGAAAGGCAAAAAATTGAACTGGCATTAGATTTTAATTCTGAGAAGGGGAAATTATAGGTGAAATTGAACAATACAGCAAATATTTAGACTTCTTTGTCTATATAATTGATTATTTGTAGGCCTATTTGTTATTCGGGATTTAATGCTTTTATAAGAAAATGAAATATATGTATTAATATTATGTTAATTTATGTAAAAGTAAGCAACATATGGAATATTAAATGAGTATATATTAAAATTTTTTAAATAGTTTTCATAGATTTTAACACTTTAAAATTGCTGTTGATATATCTTTATCAATTGTAAGTCTGGGGTTGTGATATAAAAGATCCTGTAATCATTCAATTTATTAGAAAATTAGTTTTTGCTACATGTGTCAATTATCAGTATAGAAATCAGACTGATGGTTAGAGTTAAATTTTTGTTCATGTAATTGTAGAATTCTAAAATCAGCTAGGTAGACAAAATAGCGCAAGTTGGGGCAAGAAGACATACGACATAATAAAAGTGTTTTATTTTTCAGAGAGAATAAGTCTGAAGTGTGACACAATGGGGAGTTTTGGAGGTCATGCTGTTC